GTTTATTGGAGATAAGAGTCTCATGGACTTTCCTGCCTGGGCTGGCTTTGAACCGAGATCCTCAGATCTCAGCCTCCTGAGTAGCTAGGATTACAGGTATGAACCACCTGCGCCTGGCTTATTTTCTCTTTTCAAGTATAGTCATGCTAGAAGAAAAAAATAAAAACAAAATCAAATGTAGCTATACAAATCTTTCATTGTGATTTTGATTTGTAATTCCCTAATATCTTGAACATCCTTTCATTTACTTATTGGCCATTTGTGGTTTTTTTTGTTTTTTTTTTTGTCCAGTCATGGGGCCTGGATCTGGGCCTGGGCGCTGTCCCTCAACTCTTCAGCTCAAGGCTAGCGCTACCACTTGAGCCACAGCGCCACTTCCCGGCTTTTTTCTTTTTGCTTATGTGGTGCTGAGGAATCGAACCCAGGGTCTCAGGCATGCAAGGCAAGTGCTCTACCACCTTCCCAGCCCCCCATTTGTGTATTTTTATTGTAGAAATGATTGTGCTTTACCTATTAAATACATACCTATCATACCCATATGTATGTATTTAAAGACAGATTTTCATGTTGTCCAGCTTTTGTTGACTAGGCTGTCCTCAAACTCCTGGAGAAAGTGATCTTCCTGCCTTTGTTTCTCAAATTGCTGGTAACTATTGCAGTGTACTCCTGTGCTCAACTTTGTCTGTTTTTTGTTTTTTTTAAATTGTCAAGGTGATGTATAGAGGCGATACAGTCACTAGGTAAGGTACTGAGTACATTCCTTGTCGAACAATGGTACCCCCCCCCTTTTCCTCCCTCCCCCCTTTGTCCATTTCTTAGTCAGGTTGTTTATCTTTTTGTTACTGAGTTTTTGGAATTCCTTATATAGTACAGATATTAAACCTCCTTCAGATTTGATTTGCAATTTTTTTCACATTTTATGTGTTACCTTTTCACTTTCTTCATAATGTTTTTTAAATGGGCACAATTTTTTCATTAATTAACTGATTTAATTGGACAGTACTGGTGTTTGAACTAAATCTAGTGCTTACTAGGCAAAATGTTCCACTATTTGAGCAATATCCTGAGTAATTTTCAATTTTAACGTAGTCTAGCTTAATTTTGCTGCTGGAGACTTAACTCAGAGACTTCTACTTCCTTGGCAGCACTCTATGATTTTACCTCAGCCCCTAGCCTAGCCCAGTTTATTTTTTCCCATAATGGCACTCAGCTAAGATAAGCCACCTTACCACATATCTAAAATTTTTACTCTATCACTTAAGCATTTTATGCTTTTGAAACTTTCCTGCCTTGAGCTTTCCATGAATCAATATCTTCTTGATGTCAGCTTTCCTGAGTATCTGGGATTTGAGACTTTGGCCATCAGCACCTGGTTTTCATATGTTTAGTTTTGAGTTTGCATTTTTCTGATGGCTCAAGCTATTTAACATTTTCTAATGATTTATTGGCCATTTGTACTTCCTCATTTGAAAAACGTTTTTAATTGATTAGATTATTTCTTTTGGTATTTTAATTTTTTCCAAGTTCTTTTAAGTAGTGTAGATATTAAGCCCCTGTAAGATAAATAGCTGTCAAAGATGTTTTTTCTCATTCTTTTGGCTGTCTTTTCAATCTGGTAATTGTTTCCTTTACTGTGCAGAAGCTTCTTAATTTGATGCGTTCCCATTTGTCAGTCTTGCTCTTCTTTCCTGAGCAATGAAGTATTTTCCTCTAGTAGTTTCAAAGTTATATAAATGATTATTATACAGGATTAGATCTAGTTACAGTCTTTGCCATACACATTGCTGTTTTTTCCCAGCACCACTTTTCTGAAATGATTTTGGCAGCTTTATGATAAATCAGATGTCTCTAGTTGTATGAATTTACTTATAGGTCCCCTTTTGTATTCCATTGATCTACATGTTTTTGGTCCATGTCATTGTTACGATTACTCTGTAGTATAATTTGAAATGAAATACTGTGATACTTTCAATGTTGCTTTTTTTTTTTTTTTTGCTCAGGATTGCTTTGGCTATTTGGGGTCTTCTGTGTTTCCATATAAGTTTCAGAATTTTTTCTATCCTATGAAGAATGTTATTGAGATTACTACTATTGGTTTTCTTTAGTACTTCTGGGATTTAGAGCATTGCTCTTGCTAGCCTACTTCTTGAGCCATGCCTCCAGTCCTGTCATTGGAATTTTTATGGAGATTACATTGAATCTGTAGATCAATGCAATATGTTCATTTTCCCAGTATGAATTCTGAGGATCTATGAACAGGAGTTCTTGCCATCTGTTACAGTTTTTTCAGTGTTTTGTAGTTTTGTTATCTCTTACCTTCTTAATTTTATTTTTCCTTTTTGAAATTGAGTGGGATTTTTTCCTAATTTGAGAGAGAGAGAGAGAGAGAGTGTGTGTGTGTGTGTGTGTAGTTCTGTGGCTTGAACTCGGGGCCTGAGCACTTTCCTTGCTCTCCTGATTTCTTTTTTCAATGTAGGGTGGGTTTTTTTTGGTATATATTTTTTATTGTAAAAGTACTGTACAGAGGGGTTACAGATACATGCGTAAGGTAATAAGTACATTTCCTATTGAGTGTTGTTACCTCCACCTTTGTTTTTTCCTTACCATCCCCTTCCCTCCCCAAGGGTTGGTTTTTTTAAATTGGTATATGGAAAAGCTAGTGGTATTAGTATGTTGATGTTGTATTCTGTTTCTCTGAAAGTGTCAGATCTGAGAAGTTCTGTGGTAGAGTCTTCAGGGTCTTTTAGATACTGGGTCCTATAGTCTACATATAGAAATAATCTGACATCTTCCTTGCCAATTTGTCTTATATTTGCCTTTCCTTTGGTTAAAAATTCAAGCACAATATTAAATATAAGAGTGGAGAGGGGATGGGAATGTGGTTTAGTGGTAGAGTGCTTGCCTAGTATGCAAGAAGCCCTGGGTTCCATTCCTCAGGACCACATAAACAGAAAAGGCCAGAAGCTCAGAGACAGTGCCCAGGCGCTTGAGTTCAAGCCCCAAGACTGGCGGGAAAAACAAAAAAGAATAGAAAAAGTACATAAAGGCACAATGCCTATGTGTCTCTGATCGTATAACAATATTTATCGAAATGAACTCCCAAGAAATGGAAACGAGGTTTTTTTCTTTGTTGCTCTTTTTGTTTTCTTATTCTTGCTTGCTCATTTGTCTTGTTTGCCCTCTTTGCGGTATGGGGGGGGGCACTGAAATGGAAGGACAAAGGGGGAACAACTGCGTCACTGGAACTCACTGGGATCCTATGTTGAAAATGAACTGTACAACTTATGGGTGGGAACAGGAGAGAAAAACTAGGGGAGAGGGAAGAAAGGGGTGGCATTGTCTAAAAAGAAATGCACCCCTCAGCATATCGCATAATTTTTAAAAAAAGAGAATCCTTTAAAATTTAAAAATTTTAAAAATAATAAAAAAAAGAAAGTAGCCAGGCACCTGTGGCTCTATTTGTAATCCTAGTCACTCAGGAATCAGATCTGAGGATTGAGTTTGAAGCCAGCCCAAGCAGGAAAGTCTGGAAGACTTATTTCCAATTAACCATCAAAACGTTAGAAGTAGAGCTGTGGCTCAAGTGGTAGAGCACCAGCCTTAGAGCAAAAAATAAAAAAAGCTCAGGGACAGCATCTAGACCCTCAATTCAAATCCCAGGATTGGCATTAAAAAAAAGAGAGAGAAATTAGAAATCCTTTTCCTCTTTATTTTTATTTATTTATTTATTTTGTTAGTCGTGGGGCTTGAACTCTGGGCCTGGACACCGTTCCTGAGCTCCTCAGCTCAAAGCTAGCACTCTACCACTAGAGCCATAGGGCTACTTCTGGCTTTTTCTGCTTATGTGGTGCTGAGGAATCAATCCAGGGCCTCATGCATGCAAGGCAAGCACTCTACCACTGAGCTACCTCCCCAACCCTTATTTCTATTTTTTTTTTGGGGGGGGGTATCTAGTCGTGGAGCCTGAACTCTGGGCCTGGGCGCTGTCCCTCAGCTCTTTAGCTCAAGACTAGCGCTCTACCACTTGAGCCACAGTGCCACTTCCGGCCTTTTTCTTTTTGCTTATGTGGTGTTGAGGAATGGAACCCAGGGCCTCAGGCATGCAAGGCAAGCGCTCTACCACTGAGCTACCTTCCCAGCCCATTATTTCTAATTTTTTTTTTTTTTTGGTCCGGTTGTGGGGCCTGAACTCTGGGCCTGAGCACTGTCCCTCAGCCCTTCAGCTCAAGGCTAGTGCTCTACCACTTGAGCCACAGCGCCACTTCCGGCTTTTTTCTTTTTGCTTATGTGGTGCTGAGGAATTGAACCCAGGGCCTCAGGCATGCAAGGCAAGCGCTCTACCACTGAGCCAACTTCCCAGCCCATTATTTCTAATTTTTAAAGAAAGGTTTTTACCTAATATAACTTGTGCATAGCTATTTTTGTATATATCCTCTATTAAATTCAGGTAGGATCATAATTCCTAATTTCTTCAGGGATTTATCATAAAGATACTGCATTTTGTCAGAGGCCTTTTCTGGATCTATTGAGATAATTATTGTCTTTGATTTTATTCATGTGTACTGGAAGGAAACTTGTTTATGGTGTATGGTTGTGTATATGTGCATGCATGTGTATGCCGGTATGTGCAACAGTCCTGGAGCTTGAACTCAGGGCCTGGGCATGCTGTCCCTGAGTTTTTTTTGCACATAGCTAGCTAGCACTCTACCACTTAAGCCACACTTGCACTTGTAGCTTTTTGTTGGTTAATTGGAGATAGTCTTACAGACTTTCCTGCCCTTACTAGCTTTGAACTACAATTCTCAGATCTTAGCCTTCTCAGTTACGAGGATTACAGATATGAGCCACTGGTACCCAGCCTTAAACTTTTTTTTAGTAACCTCAAACTTTAGATTTTCCTGCCTCGGTCTCCTGAATGCTAGAATTATGTATGTGTGACCACATCTGGCTTATACATCACTTTTTAGGTATTTATGCAGTGTGATATTTGTGTCTTGTAGAATGGAGATGTATGCATTTCGATTCTTCATCCACCTGTAGATGACCCACAGAGTGGAGAACTCCCCTCAGAAAGGTGGAATCCTACTCAGAACGTGAGGTAAGGTGCTAATACTTTTTGTTGTTCTGTTCTACTTCATTTTGCTTTTTGAGACAGTCTTACTATGTTGCCACATTCTATGTTGCCCAGGCTGACTTTGAAAACTCCTGCTTTAGCCTCCTGAATAGCTGTGACTATAGAAGCCTACCAGTTGATGTATTTTTGTGTGAACCTAATTCATTGTCTTTTAACTTGTGTGACAGGAAGTTTCCTATGTTAGGTTGATTTTTCTTCCGCTAGTTTTTTTTGGGGTGGTGTGTGTGTGTGCGCGCGTGCGCGCATGCACGTGCACATGCACGTGCACACTTGGCGCACGCATGTGTGTGCCTCTACTCAGGGCCTGACGCTGTCCCTGTGCTTTTTTTTTTTTTAAAACCCCACTTCTGGCTTTTTGGTGGTTAATGGCAGGTAAGCGTCTTACAGACTTTCCTGCCTGGGCTGGCTTCAAACTGAGATCTTCAAATCTCAGCGTCTGAGTAGTTAGGATTATAAATGTGAGCCACTGGCCCTCGACACTTTCAGTTTTAAGAAGTATTTGAAGTTTCAGCTAAATGTCTTGACCTTTAATACATGTGACTCCAACTTCCTTAGAGTTCACTATTGGAAGAATTTTTTTTTTTTTTTTTTTTTTGGTCGTGGGGCCTGAACTCTGGGCCTGGGCGCCGTCCCTCAGCTCTTCAGCTCAAGGCTAGCACTCTACCACTTGAGCCACAGCACCACTTCCGGCTTTTTTCTTTTTGCTTATGTGGTGCTGAGGAATCGAACCTAGGGCCTCAGGCATGCAAGGCAAGCGCTCTACCACTGAGCTACCTTCCCAGTTATGGAGGAAATTTTTGAGCTAGAATTCTTTTACATTGATTAATTTCAAGCCAATGATTTTTTGGTTACCTTTCCCCTTCCTTTTCTCTTTCCTTCCCTCTAGCCCTTTCTCTTCCCTTTCCTTTTGGTATATGTCTCTCTGTCTCTGTCCAGGGCTTGAACTTATAGCCTGGGCACTGTCCCTGATCTGTTTGGCTCAATGCCTGGTGCTCTATCACTTGACACTGGAGCCATAGCTCCACTTAATGGCTTTCTTTTTTGGTGGCTAATTGGAGATACTAGTCTGGGCTGGCTTCAAATCACTATCCTTAGACCACAGTCTCCTGAGTCGCTGGAATTGCAGACGTGAGACACTGGTACCTACCTTTTTTTTTTTGTCGGTCATGGGACTTGAACTCTGGGCCTGGGCGCTGTCCCTCAGCTCTTCAGCTCAAGGCGAGCGCTCTACCACTTGAGCTACAGCGCCACTTCCGGTTTTCTGGTGGTTTATTGGAAGTAGGAGTCCTCACGGTCTCTCCTGCCCGGGCTGGCTTTGAACCGCGATCCTCAGATCTCAGCCTCCTGAGTAGCTAGGATTACAGGCATGAGCCACCAGCGCCCGGCACACATACAGTTTTAATCCTGAAAAATTCTGAACCTTGCTGACCAAAATAAGATGGTTAGAGCTAAGATTTCTGTACCATTTCTGCCCCCTTCCCAGAAACTCACAGAAAGGATTATATGCATGACCATTAATTCTTCTTGCTTCCGCAAAAGAAAGAAAATTCCATTTCTACCACTCATTTTTTTAGCGTTTTGAAATTCACTGTCCTTTTCTAGGTTGGAAGCAGCTATGTCTTGTCTACAAGTGTCAAATTTTGTTTTGTATCAGTCAATGTTTGGGAAATCATGATTGGTCTATGTGCAAGTCTTTAAATTTTATATTACTTTGAAACTTTGCTTCTTTGAGGTTGGCATCCTTGCCACCTCGTCTAGGTATAAGAGGTCTGTAGTCTGCGAGGTGACAGCATGCTGATCTTTCAGTCTCTTTTCTCCACCCAGTTCTCACTACTTAGTAAGGTTTATTTGAGGTCTCTTACATGTACATTCTGCAGCCGAGTGGTTTTAAATAACACTCTGTTGGGACTGGTTGGGAGAAAGAGAAACCAATAATGCAACTCTGTGTGTGTGTGTGTGTGTGTGATGTGTCCCCACATATGTGAGCTTTAAATAACACTCTGTTGGGACTGGTTGGGAGAAAGAGAAACCAATAATGCAACTCTGTGTATGTGTGTGTGTGTGTGTGTGGGTGGGTGTGTGTGGGTGTGATGTGTCCCCACATATGTGAGCACCTGCTGGTACTGGGGCTTGAACTGAGGGCCACACTTTCTCACTTGGCTTTTCACTCAAGGCTGGCACTCTACCACTTGAGCCACACCAGCTTTTTGGTGGTTAATTGGAGATCAGTCTCACAGAGCTGGACACTGGTGGCCCACACCTATAATCCTAGCTACTCAGGAGGCTGAGATCTGAGGATTGTGGTTCAAAGCTAGCCCAGGCAAGGAAAGTCCATGAGACTCCAATTAACCACCAGAAAACTGGAAGTGGCGCTGTGGCTCAAGTGGTAGAGTGCTAGCCTTGAGCTGAAGAGCTCGGGGACAGCGCCCAGGCCCAGGGTTCAAGCCCCATGGAAGTTTGGAATGTCTTAGAGCCTTTTTCTTGCCTTAGAGGCCTCTTCTGTGGTTCCTTGGAACTTTAGTCTGTTAAGATTGACGGTTTGATATTGCTGAATGTTGTATGAATCTACTGGACCTGTTAGCACTGGGCAGTCAAGGATGGCGTCTAAATTGCTCACCATGATACGTTTGACATCTTACTTGGTGCCTCTGAAAGACAGTAGGTAGTTAGTAACTATTTTTTGTAAGTAGATTATTCAAGAGATCAGCTCTCCAAAGGCTTCTCTTTTCCTCTATTCTCTTGAGAAAATTGTTTTCCTTTGCTTATAGGTATAAAGTAGTTAATATTTTTCAGATGTCTTCAGCGCCCACAATACAAATAGGATAACTGGTATGTTTACCTTCTTCCATGAGAAAATAGCCTTAAAACTATTTTATGCTTTTCTTTTTTTTGGTCCGGTCGTGGGGCTTGAACTCTGGGCCTGGGCGCTGTCCCTCAGCTCTTCAGCTCAAGGCTAGCGCTCTACCACTTGAGCTACAGTACCACTTCTGGCTTTTTTCTTTTTGCTTATGTGGTGCTGAGGAATCGAACCCAGGGCCTCATGCATGCAAGGCAAGTGCTCTACCACTGAGCCACCTTCCCAGCCCCAGTTTTATGTTTTTCTTTTCCTGCTCCACCTAAGTTTAAGTAATTAAATTAAGTAATTATTAATACATGGTATTTGAAAGCTTCCAGATACCTGCTTTTTGCAGGATGGAACATATAGGCAGTTGAGACAGTTCGTTCTAGCAATCACTGCATTCCTTGCAATCTGACCTCCACGCCAGATTCATGTATTTGCTCTGCCCTGTCCCCCAACCAGCAGACTTCTTTTGACTGTTGTAGCCCAGGCTGGCCTCAAACTCTAGTGGTCCTCCTGAAGAGGTTGAGTGTACCAACATGCCTGGTAAGCACCTGGTTCTCTAGCCTCGACAGCTGAATACTGAAACATTTGATTATCTAAGACCTTAAATTGTATTGGAAAATTTGATGTGAGTATTCACAGCTGATCCTTTTCCCCTATTTTCAGGACTATCCTGTTAAGTGTAATCTCACTGCTTAATGAGCCCAACACCTTCTCCCCAGCCAATGTGGATGCTTCGGTTATGTTCAGGAAATGGAGGGACAGCAAAGGAAAAGACAAAGAATATGCTGAAATCATTAGGTAAGGTACTTTGTTTTGTCTTTTTATTGCTTCATCTTTCTATAAGCCAAAATGTATTCTGGAACCAAGGGTTTAAATCAGATTTAAATATCCTGACCACTCCAGGATGATTCCTCTCAGCTATATTTATAGTATACAAAAGGAAGGTTTCTGCTTGAATCCTCAAAATAGTGCTGAAACAGATCTAGTTTCCTAGGAACCAGCACTTCCAGATTCTTGGATTATCTGTATCTATATCTGTCTGTCTCTATCATCTATCTGTTGCTGGTCCTGAACTCTGTCCCTGAGTTCCTTTTGCTCAAGACTATCATTCTATCACTGAGCCACAGAGCCACTTTTTCTGTGATTAATTGGAGTCCCACAAACTTTCTTGCCTGAGCTTGCTCAAATCATGATCCTCAGTTCTCAGCCTCCTGAGTAACTCTAGAATGCAGGTGTGAGCCACTGGGGCCCAGATTTTATTTTGTTTGAGACAAAGCTTCATTCACTTGTAATCTAGACTGGCCTTGAACTCATGACTCTCCTACCTTAGCCTCTTGAGTGCTTGGATTACAGGCTTGTACCACTATGCCTGGTTTAACTTGTAGCTTAACTGGTCTGTTTTGCAGGATTTCCTTCCTAGCCACCTTAAGAACCCTCTTTTGGCTTTTGTGTCCGTTAAATGCAGTAACCATGTTTATCCAGAGCATCAGACATTGCAGGTATACTACATACACTTGTATGAAAGACAGTAATTTTTAATAATGAAGTCCCATGATTTAAAGATTCTTTTGGCCAAGGTGGCAAACATCTGCTGGATATCATTATTGTTAACAATAGTAATGTGGTAAAACTGATCTAGAACAAGAACCAGAATCTACTGTTGGTCTTGACACATTTCATGTGACCACTTGTCAGTTAACATTTGGGATGGTTAATGTCTCCATCTGTATAAAAGTAAGAAAATGGGCCAGTATTTCATTTCCCTGTCACATGCTTCAGAAGATAGAAGGGTTACATAATGGCCAAGAATTTTGCAAAACTTTCAAGCCCCCTTCCCCTCCACAGTACTGACATTTGAACTTGGTTCATCCTTTGGACATCCAAAAGACATTTGGTGTTTAAAGTGGCTAGAACACAGAAGAAATAGCTGACTTGTGATTTGAGAATTATCACTATAAATGGAGAGTGACTAGAACCATAGGAACAGGTAAGATGTGTCCGGAGAATGGTGAGAGCGCAGAGTGAAGCCAGAAGCCTCAGGAACAACAGTATGTAATGTATGCGAGTTAGGAGGGACAGAAGAGGATCTTTCCAGATTAAATCAGGAAACTGATGTTCTTTTTTAAAAATTATTATTATTTTTGCCAGACCTGGGGCTGAACTCAGGGTCCGGACACTGTCCCTGAGATTCTTTTTTGCTCAAAGCTAGCACTCTACCACTTGAGCCACAGTGCCTGTTTTGGAACTGTATTTAGAGGTTGTATTTTAAGGTTTAAAATATAGAGTTAAGGAGAATGGAGCTAGTTGCAGTGGCATATACTTGTACTCCAACTCTTCAGGATGAGTTTATCATTGTTCAACCCATGTGATCAAAATGTTAGAAAGGCCCTTGTCTCAATAAGATGAACCTAATGGGAAAGATCTTATCCTAATCTGTTGGCTGTCTTTTCTAGTTTAGAAACTGTGTCCTTTGCTGTGTAGAACCTTTTTAGTTTTATGTAATCCCATTTGTTGTCTCTCTCCCTGGGATTCTTTTAAAAAAATTCTTACCTATACCTATAAGACCTAATGTTTCTCCTACTCCCTTCTAGTAGTTTGAAAGTTTCAGGTCTGACAATGAGGTGTTTGATACACTTTGAGTTGATACTTATGCATTTTAGTTTTCTACATATGGATGTCCAGTTTTCCCAACACCAGTTATTGAAGAGGCTATCTTTTTTTCTACTGTATGTATACTTTGTCAAATATCAGATAACTGTAACTATATGGCTTTATTTCTGGGTCATCTAGTATGTTCATTGATCTTTGAAATTGTTTTTGTGCCATACCAAGCTGTTTTTGTTATTATAGCTCTGCAGTAGTTTGAGGACTATGATTGTGATACCACTTGCATTGCTTTATTTGCTTAAAATTGATTTGGCTATTCAAGGTCTTTTGTTGTTCCAAATTAATATTTGGAACATTATTGAGATTTTGATGGCAATTGCTTTAAATTTGTAGATCATCATTTGGCTGTATGGCCCTTTTCACATGATCAGTTCTACCTATCCATGAGCATGGGAGTTCTTTCCATTTCATGATGTCATCTTTGATTTCTTTCCTCAGATTGATTTATTTACTATGCTGGTCCTGGGACTTGAAATCTGGGCCTGGGCACTGGCCCTTAACTTTTGTGTTCAAGGCTAGCATTCTACCACTTTAGTCACAACTCCATTTCCAGCTCTTTGGTGTTTAATTGGGAGATTAGATTTTCACTGATTTTTTCCTCTCAGGATAATTGATCTTAGCCTCTTTAGTAGCTAGTAGCAGGTGCGAGCCACTGGCATCCAGCCCTTTCTTTAGATTTTTATAGTTTTCACTATAGAGGTATTTTTTGTCTCATTGGTTAGGTTTATTTCTAAATATTTTACTTTTTTTGAGGCTATTGCAAATGGAATTTTTTCTGATTTCCCTCTGATTGTAACATCGTTGGTATACAAAAAAGCTACTGATTTTTTGTGGTTGTGTATCCTGCTAGTTGCCCAAGTTATTGGTCAACTCTAGGAGCTTGGGGGTGAAGTCATTGAGGTCCTTTAGATATACGATCATGTTGTCTGCAAATAGGGTAGTTGACTTCCTTCCCTATGTGAATCCTCTCTTTTATGTCTTTCTCTTGACTTATTGTTCTGGCTAGAAATTCCATATATTGAAAAGGGGTGGATATCTTTGCCTTGTTCTGATTTCAGAGGAAATGGTTTAAGCTTGAAATTGGTGGTTTCTGTACCATAAAGTCTTTATTATGTTGAGGTGCTTTCTTCCTACTCCTACCTTCTCCACAGCTTTAAACGTGAACAGATGTTAGATTCTATTGAAGGTTCTTTCTTATCTATTGAAACAATCATTTGTGATTGTCTTTGGCTCTGTTAAATTATGTTTATTTACATATATTAAACCAGCCTTGCATTTCTGAGATAAAACTGACTTATTTTTGATTAGTTGCTGAATTCTCTTGGCAAGTATTTTATTAAGGAGCTTTGTATCTGTGTTCATCAGAGATTGATTGGTCTTGTGTTGTTGGGCCCCTTATTGGTTTGGGATGAGTGTAATGCTGGTTTCATAAAATGTGTTTGGTAGTAATCCTTCCGTTTTATTTTGTATAAATGTTTCAAGAACACTGGTATATTCAAGGAAACTGATGTTCTGATATTTTGTTAATTTCTTCTTGATTTGGGTGGTACGGAGATTTGAACTCAAGTTGTTTACTTTTTCTTCCAATCTTGATTACTAGTTGTTTGTTTTTTTTTTTTTTTGTCGGTTGTGGGGCTTGAACTCTGGGCCTAGGCGCTGTCCCTGCACTCTTCAGCTCAAGGTCAGCGCTCTACCTCTTGAGCCACAGTGCCACTTCTGGTTTTCTAGTAGTTTTTGGAGATCAGAGTCTCACAGACTTTTCTGCCCTGGCTGGCTTTGAACCACGATCCTCAGATCTCAGTCTCCTGAGTAGCTAGGATTACAGGTTTGAGCCACTGGTGCCCAGCTTGACTAGTTTGTTTTTTAAAAATACAATTTTAGGCTGGGAATGTGGCTTCATAGTAGAGTACTTGCATATTCATGAAGCCCTGGGTTTGATTCCTTAGCACCACACAAACAGAAAAAGCCGAAAGTGACACTGTGGCTCAAGTGGTCAAGTGCTAGCCTTGAGGAAAAGGAAGCTGAGGGACAGCGCCCAGGCCTCAGGACTGGCCAAAAAATTAAAAATTAAAAAAAAAAAACACCTAAACCCATTTTATTGTTATTATTAAGGTGATGCACAGGGGAGTTACCATTTCATAAGTCAGGTAATGAGTATAATATTACCCATTCCTTCACTTTTTCCCAGTTTCCCCTCTGTCCCTGCCCACAAGTTACCTAGTTCACACTAATCATATATGGAGAATAATGTGAAGAGTGGTATGAAAGTGACTAGATGGCTACTTGCCATTGAGCTGCCCATGGAGCTGGGGTATAGTTCAGTTATCTAGTGCAGCACCCCCCACTCAGGGAAAAGCACCCCCCACTCAGGGAAAGCCTTTTTAAATTGACATAAACCAAGGAGGGAGATCAAAGGAAGAGACTGATCTAGACAGAAAAGGCATCTATATCCAAGCATTAAAAAAAGATTGGGCTCTCTGGGTGCCGGAGAGTCATGTCTGTAATACTAAGTACGAAGGCGGCAGAGACCTTAAGATCACAGTTTGAAGCCAACCTAAACAGGAAACTAGAGTACTTGACCGCCTGGGGTTCTGTTTCTATACCACCAGAAAATAAAGTACTAATGACCTAGGTGGCCGGAATGTGTTAGTATTAAAGAAAGCAGTGGGCTTTGGACTGCAGCATAAACTGGGATTTTATTATGATTGTTAATTATTAAGGGCTGCATAACGACTTGGTGGTGAAAAAAGGAACCCTTCCTCTACTATTTAAGAACACCATTGTTTCAAATTTTTCAGGTTTTTTTACCCCCCCCAAAAAGGTCATTATTAAGTGAGCATATTAAAGGCCTTTTGTGTATGTACAGGGAATCTGCCGGATACTTTTAGGCAAGCAACAAAGTTTGGAAAGCAAATGGAGAAGGAGTCTTGATTAAAGCCAGTTATAAAATACATCTTTAAGACAGAGACTTAACAATCATTTTTGTCATCCTACCTTCAGGAAACAGGTTTCAGCCACTAAGGCCGAAGCAGAAAAAGATGGCGTGAAGGTCCCCACAACTCTGGCGGAATACTGCATCAAAACTAAAGTGCCTTCCAATGACAACAGCTCAGATTTGCTTTATGACGACTTGTATGATGATGACATTGATGATGAAGATGAGGAGGAGGAAGATGCCGACTGTTACGACGATGATGATTCTGGGAATGAGGAGTCGTGACGGGCTCCTTCAATGGCCCTGTACTGCCCTGCCGTCTCAGGCCAAAGGGAGGGGAGCCAAGTGGGGACCTAGCAGTGGCCCCTCAGCAAAAACTTATTCACAGGGGGTGGGGAAAACAGACAGCTCCTGCTGACTCCCCTATGGATCTCAGTTTGCTCCTTTTTATGGACCTTTAATGGAGAGAAAGTAACCCTCCACAGAATGTCTGAATTCTTGCATTCATTATCCTTCCATCACTGTATTGATTTTTTTCCCCCCTACAAAACCACCATCATCCAAACTCCCACCTCACTTTGTGTCTACAAGAATGTTCACAGCAAAACACATTTGGTCTGATTTTAGATTCCTGAAGAATTAGTTAAAGACATTTAATGTGTTTAAAGCTGGGAACCTATTGGGAGTTCATAAGTGCTGCATATATACTGGGTAGCAAAAGAAAATGGAAAAACAAAACAAAAACAAAAAAAACCACAAAACAAACTAAAAAATCCTTTCCTTTTTTTTTTTTTGCCAAGGTTTAGCTGCTCATCTACATTAGTGTGCGTGCATATTTGTTCAGACCCATTGTAGTAAATTTTGTTTCTTTCCCTTCCTAAGGCTGGGATATGGCGGGCATCAGGGACTTACTTCATGCTAAGCCTGATGAAATGCGCTTCTTCTGCCTCCATGAAATCATCTGAACATGGTGGCCTCAGTTATTCTGAGGAGAGAAATCAGATTTTGTTTTTTGAAATCAATTGGGATCTAAAGCCTGAAATAAATATTCATACTTTACATAGACCTGAGCACTTGGTTGCTATTTATTTTAAAGGTAGGGTTATTTTTATCCCCACCAGGGAGTGGGACGAACGGGGAGGAAATGTGTGGATTTTTAGTGATGAGAACAAAGGGTTTTTTCTTTAAAAAAAAAAAAATCACACCAGTTTTGGTTGATGCTACTGAGGGAAAAAGTCAAACTACTGGTGGCCACGATTGGGAGAGAAAACATCTGTTTATGTATTTAACTTGGCCTTCCCCTCAAAGATTCATTCTCACCATGAGATTTTGTTGTTAATTGTTATTTTAATTTAGCCACTTTTAACTACTCAGTATTAATCTTAGGTGCATGTGTTAAGGTTTTGGTTTTCATTGAGCTGCTTATAGTGATAAATGTGGAAATGTGTGAGACATGAGTGACTGGTTCTTGCTTTCTTCAAATTGGATGTGATCTGGATTTTTTTCTTTCAATGTACTTTGGCTGTGGAGTGCAAACAGAAATTTGCATGGAGCTTCCCCTGGGCTTTCCTTTTCTGGTAGGGTAGGGCCCAGGGAGGTGACTGCTGGCAGTTTTCAGCCCAGGCAAGGCTAGATTTTTTTGACCATACAATTGCAGCTTTGTTTCCCAGGTCTTAATCAAGTGTTGCTTCAATCAAGATTGAGATCCAATAGCCTTCACCATCCAGGGACTTCAGAATTTGAAGGTGATTTTTATTACTAGGGTATGCAAGTTCATACTGTTCTTTGGGGAAAACCTATAATGCAAAATCAGATTTCAGAAGGAAAACAGCAAGGATTGACTGCAGTCCTGCATAAGATCCCTGTGCACCAGTATCATCTTTTTCTTCAGATCATAGTTCAGAAAGAACCAAAGGGCAGATTAGGGACAGGAATAGGTTGATCCTAGGATGTCCAGAGTAGATGATCCTTACTTCCGTAGCTCCTCCTTCCTTTCTGATCTCAGGGTTTTCATTCACTCTTCAAACTCTCCCAAACATATGCTATTTCCCAGAAGCCCTCTCTAGCCTCTAAAGCTTGGTCTTTTATTAAATGGGAATGTTTTAACATGCTATGATTCTTAAGGGACTCTGTTGAGCCTGGTCCCAGAATCTCTATTTAATCCCCCCAGAGCTGCTATTTGTACCCTTGATTACTTAATCGAGGAACAGAGCAGCTGTGCAGGAGTGCAAACTCTCCTAAAAGGATATTAGAACTAGCTTGTTGCTCCCCACACTTTAATGCTTCCAGATAACCTGCAAACCTAGAGCCAAAGCCTCTCAATGCTCTGATTTACCTCCCCACCCCACAAGTTTACAGCTAGTAGGTTGGTCTCATTCTCATAGAGCTCTAAAATTCAGCCTTCTGTTCCCCTTACTTACTGCTGAAACGTCTTACTCCCAAGTTAGTCCAGGCACCTCAGCATTTTGGGAGGTGCTGTGATGTTCAGCTGTCCCATTAGGCCCTGTTTAGCATGTGTTGCATGTTGACTCAGGGAGCCAGAGAGCCAAGTGGAAGTTGTACCTCTCAGCACTTCTTGGTGTTACTGTTGTTGGCTGGGTGTGCCTCTGATGATACAACCAGTTCCAGGAGACTGGGGTGTACTGACTTGTTGGCAGGTAGACATTCTGATAGTTTAGATGAGTTATAAAACCCAGATGATGCTGGTTCCAGACTTGTCCCTGAGAACATATCCAGTGGAAAAATACTTGAGTATGTTTTCTCTTTGGGAGAGTGGATGGGAGTCTCAGGCTCACGCCAGAACCTTTTGAGTACACTTGTACTGCTTATTTGGTGTGAAATGAACTCAGAGTCCTTTGTTTTTAGATTGCTTTTGATTCTAATTGAGGCCTCAGTGAATTCTCTTCAGTTCCATGTATTTTGAAGCTCAGTGGAGAAAGTATAATATCATGATTCCATTGTTGCTTTTCCCAGTTTCCCTTCCTTTCCTATCATTCCAGAGTTCTTTTCTACCTTTTTTTTTTCTTTAGTCCTTTCTTTTCTTTCCCCCTTCCCTGGCAATTATTTGCTCTTTTACTTGCTGGTTTCTTTACGTTTGAGTATGTATCTAGTAAAAGATTGGAAGGGGACAGCTTATAGTTCTTTGCTGAAAATTAACTCTCCACCCTCCTATCCTGATTTTTTTAAAAAGGTTTACATTTACAACTAAAAAGATTCAGATGCAATTTTCAACTACTCTGAAACCAGCAAGATACACCTGACTTTAATAGTTTTCGTAGATGAAATTGTAGATGTTTTTCTTCAGTTTAACTTATGAGAAAAGATTTATCTGATGCATTTTCTGTTGACTTCCCCTTTAGTGGTTTTGTCTTTTTTTTTTTTTTTTGCCCATCTGTCTACTAATAAAATGTGAAATAAAATATACCTGTATTGCTACTTCCCCATGGCATGACCCTCTTTTTTTCCTTGTGTTAAAACTAAAAGATGGCCGGGCGCTGGTGGCTCACGCCTGTAATCCTAGCTACTCAGGAGGCTGAGATCTGAGGATCGTGGTTCAAAGCCAGCCTGGGCAGGAAAAGTCCATGAGACTCTTATCTCCAAATAATCATAGAAAAAGCTAGAAGTGGTGCTGCAGTTCAAGTGGTGGAGTGCAACCCTTGAACAAAAGGAGCTTAGGGACAGCGCCCAGACTCAAGTTCTAGGCCCAGGTCCCCGGGTGGGGGTGGGGGTGGGGAGGGCTTAAAAGGTGGACTCAAATTTTGTTACCTTGATGATGCTCAGTTGAAATTTAAAACCACCACAAAAACTGGCTGACCTTCCTAGAACATAACTGTCCCCAATGAGACATGGCCATTTGCTAAAATGGATTCTGAAATATAGGGCACAAGTCTCTGAAGAGATAGAGGGCGGAAACATCTTGTTTTTGTCATTTGTATTCCCAACTTTCTGTCGCTAGTAAATGGCAGGGAATCAAGTAAGGTCACTTTAATAAAAGTCCCTATTAAGTTTTAGTTGTGGACATTTGCCATTTTTCTAGCCAGATTCTTGTCTGTGTCCCATTTGAGCATTATTTCTGATCAAAATGGGGGGGGGGAGAATTCCATGATCCTCTAGCCAGTTCTGAAACAGTAACTTGACCAGTACCTGTCAATCCGTATCTGAAATGATCCTGGAATACTTCTGATACTCAGCCTGTACTTGCTTGCAGCAGCACTCCATTTTGCTTACAAGCCTACTCTGAAGTTGTGATTTAGGATTGAAATTAAAGGCTGTAATTCTTGGAGTAACATTTTCAGACCCTAACATCACTTCTAACAAGCCTCCTAACATCACTCCTGAATCATCTGTCTCACCAGAGCCCCTGACTGGCGGTATACACTATTTGGAGATACAGAGAATAGGTACACCATAGTTCTTAACCCTGTGCTTACTCCAGGTTTTAAAGAGGTTTGGAGAAGAACTTACCCTCTCCTAGCAGTCCTATTGACAGTGCCTGATTTCCACCCCCTCCCCCTCCCTAGTTCTGGGGCTTGAACTCAAGGCCTGGGCACCCGTCCCTAAGCTTTTTTTTTTTTTTTTGCTCAAGGCTAGCACTCTACCACTTGGGCTACAAGGCCACTTCCGGCCTTTTCTGTGTATGTGGTACTGAGGAATAGAACCAAGGGATTCATGCATGCTAGGCAAGCACTCTACACTAAGCCACACTGAGCTGAATTGTCAAGACAAGCTGTATTAACTTTCATTAACAGTGTGGACCCTGAAGAACCTTGTCTTTTCAGCCATAACATTTGGGCTGAGATAGCCCAGCAGAGAAGGAACTACCCAATAGGCTTGCCAGGTCTAATTGGTCCCAGGAAATTCCAGGGTGCCACCCCTCAGCCACACCACACAGAGACGAAGCATGCTCTCAGAACTTTATTAGGTGGAATCTGGGCAAGGGGAAACCCCCAAAACAGTTGCCTACCTGGTGCAGGACAACTGGCATAGAGGAGCCTTTACTTGGAGACGGGCTTTCACTGAAGTGGAAGCAGATCTTTGATTCTTTTTTCAAAGGGGAGCTGACTGGATGAACATCTGAGACCCAGTTTGACTTATTTGTAAAATGGTCGGCCAGAAAGAGGCAAGTCTCTAGGGATAGGACTGGACCAAGCAGAAGCCCTGGGCTTATGTTGGGCAGGGGATCATCTCTGCTATTCCCAGATCAAGATTTGGTGGAAGAGGGACCTTGACAAATGACAAAAGGACCAGTTTCTCAAAAACAGAGGTATAAAGTAATTACAGAAGGGAGAAAACAAATACTGGTTCACAGGGAGATAAGTCGTGATTCTTCATTGGTACCTGACCCCAGTACTCAAACCGCCTGAACTAGTCCTCCAGTGGCTGCTGCCCCTCGCAGCTCCCAGGACAGGGGCCATGTGGAATGCCTGAAGGCAGAAGAGCTGTAGGGGCTTACTTGGCTACAGTGAGGAGGGGTCTGAATTAGGAGAGCAGAGTTGGCTGCCACCTGAAACCATACCCCCACTCCCTCAGGCTTCTATCACATTTACAAATACATACATAAATTACATTACATACAATAGCAAGTCTGGGAGGCAGGCTCCCCGTAGAGGCTCAGCTGACATCGTTTACAAGTCTCAAGGGCACTGGGCTCCCAGAAATGTGCTCCGTGTGCTCTCTCCTGCCGAGGGTAAGCCCTGCCCCAGAGCCCACCCTTTCTTCGGGGGTCTAATTTGTCCAGTATGGTGAGTTCCCATAGGTAGGTTTGGAAGCTTGAGACTTGGGCTGCAGGGAGTTGGGCTGGTTGCGTTGACCCGAGCCACTCTGAAGAAGAAGAGGAGGAAAAAAGGCTGTCAGAGCAGGAGGAGAAACCCCAGGCCAGGGCCAGGAGGGCACCTGCATCACTGCACTCACCTGGGCATCCTGCGGAAGGTGGTGGTGCAGCAGCTGTGAGTGAGGCTGCTGGTGGGCTGGCAGGATATGCAGGAATGGTGGGGGTGCATAGCCAGCAGCTGCTCCAGGAGCCAGGGCTCCTGTGGAGCCCAAGGCCGAGGGTAGGCTGAAAGGTGGAGGCGTGCCTGCATGAAATCCCTGCTTGTCAAAGGTCTGCCAGGCAAAGATGACAACGTGATGATCAGATTGAGCTATACTTGGATCGACCTACCTGCCCACCTTGGTTCATCCCCTCACCTGTGTCTTGTTATAGACCGAACCAGTCATATCAGGGAGGCCAGTGGCACTTGAAGATGCAGATGCTCCTAGGAGGAAAAGCAGTTCCTCCTTTGGCATTTGGACGCAGCTCCAGGGCCACTGCGGTAGCCCTGCCTGACACAGGGTCAGGAAGGAGATGACTACTCCAGCATTTTATCTTGGGAAGCAGGGATAAACACTACCTTTGCCAGGCCCAGAACCAGCGGACTTGTTTGGTGCCTGTGATGATCCGCCATAGCCCCCCTTGGTGTAGTCTCCTGCGGCTGTCCCCTGGGCTAAGTCGTCATAACCTAGCACAGCAGAGTGGGAGAAGCCAAGTGTGGCTAAGCAGTCCTGCCCTGCCCTGTGTGTGCGTGTCTGTGCGGGGAGCGCCCTTACCAGTGCTGTAGCCATGCTGGCCATAACCACTGGCCTGCTGGAAAGCGGTGGGAGGGGTGCTGAGGTTCACACCATGCTGCTTGGCAGAGGCTGGCGGGACCTAGTGGAGAAAGCAGATGAGCGCAGTGTATGTTGGACATGAAGGCAGATGGGGATGGTCTAGATGAGACGAAATGGGCTCATAATGCCTTCTTCCACACCTTGCTTCCAGGATCTGTACTACAGGTCCTGGTTTTTAACCTTCTAGAGGGGAAGGAACTGCACAGATACTCACAAACATAGTGGGCCCATACTGGAAGGCACTGGGCATGCTTGTATAATAGGGGAGGCCGGTGTAGCTGTAGCCAGGTGGCAGTGCAGGATTCAAAAAGGGCTGCTGGGCTGTGTGGTGGGCCTGGGCTTGGCTCTGCTGTGGCTGAGCTGGTGTGGTAGGGGGTGCAGGAGATGCAGAATCACCTCGGCCAAACTTTGTGACATCACCTGGAAGATAAACACTGACCCTGTATGACCAGAGAAAATTCCAGCCTGGCTCCTGCAAACATAAGCAGGTCTGGCTATCAGCGTCCATATGGACAGCTTAAAACAAAACCAAAACACTCAGCACTCTGCCTTCCAGCCTCCTGTGGTTAGTTGCAGGCCAGCCCATACCCTCCCGCGCTAAACCACTGAAGTCCAACTAACCTGAATACGGATTATTAGCTAGGCTTCCATCTCGGCTGGCGAGGGCTGTGGGTGCAGCAAAAGGAATTCCATAATAATCCTAGGATAGATAAGGAGACTAATTGGGCAAGGGTGTCACCTCATTCTCAGCAATAGTACAGACAACTGTAAGTCAACGGTACCCACGGGGCTGTGGCACTTGGGAGCCCCCTTGCTGACAAGCATGTGGACAGACAAGCCCTTTGGCTCACATCTATGGTATACCATGGCCAGGTACTTGATGAACATTACAGGCTCAACCAACTCTACTGGCTTTTTCCTGTGTCAGAAACTCCATAAAGAGCAGCCAGGAATGTTGCTGAAACAGAATAGACCTGAAAAAAGCAGATCAGAGAGGAAGAGCCTAGACAGTCTACAGGAGCACAGGGAGCATGCCAGCTAAGACACCCAGGGCTGGACTCCCAGCTGACCTCCCTACATTGCTGTGGCAGCACACGGGCGCTGTAGTCAACTAGGGTGAAGAACGGCAGGCACCACAGTTTGGAGTCAAAAGCCAAAACACAGTGGAACCTTGAAGACGGGAACTGCCCAGAGCCTTGCCATCTCGGGCTTGGGCAGTTCAGGACACAGCTAGTGTCTGAGTCACAGCCAAACAAAATTCATCCTTAGAAGCTGGGTGCCAGGGGCTCACGGCTGTAATCCTAACTACTCAGGAGGCTGAGATCTGAGGATCATGGTTCAAAGCCAACCCAGGCAAGTAAAGCCCGTGAGACTCTTATCTCCAATTAACCCCCAAAAAACTGGAAATGGCGCTGTGGTTCAAAAAGAGTTCAGGGACAGCACCCAGGCCCAGAGTTCAAGCCCCATGACTGACCACCAACCCCCCCCCCAAAAAAAAATTCCTCCTTGTTAGGAATGACACTTAAATCCTTTGGCCATGTCTATAGGTTACCCAGGAAACCTAGAGAATCCCCAGCCTCAAACCCCAAGAAGTGGCGGGACTGCTGAACCCCATGGGTCTCCTGGGAACACAATAGGAGGCAGCCCAGGAGGAGGAGCCTTTTCACAGAAGAGAAAACAAGGCACAAAAATAGCAAAGGCTATGAAATGACTCAATTAAAAGTTTCATATCTCAAATGTAGATTCCATGGAAGAAAAAGCAAAGGAGTCCTATGAATAAAAACAGAAAA